ACTCCCAACGCCCCTCCCCGCTTCGGCCTTGCGCCTGCACCACCGTCCCAGGGCCGCTTACCCCCCGGGTCCCCGCGGGCCCTGGAGAGCAGCAGAGGCAGCAGCTGCAGGGCCAGGGCCATGGCTGGGATGTGGTGGGGCGAGGAGGCGACGGCGTGAATCAGCAGAGAGACCGGAGGGAAGGGGGCCGGGAGGGGCTGCCATGGGCTCTGATAAGAGCGGTGTGGGCTCCATCCCTTTGGGAAACTGTCAAACTCCTCCAAGTGGGAGCCTCCGAAACCCTGGAGCTCGGCTGAGTTCAAATCCTGACTTTGCCATCTGTCAGCTGAGCCGGTGGGCAAGTCGCTCAGCCGCTGCCTGTTTGCTTACCTGAAAAACGGAAACAACAGCACCTATTTCGTAGCCCCTTGTGATAGCTAAACAGAACACAGAAAGCACCTAAAACAATGGCTGATGGCGGGAACATTACTCAGGTTCTTGTTCTCATTGTTACCACTTCTGTTCTTATTTTAGCTCCTATCTCACCTCTCTGGGTCCACGCCATCCCTCCCTGCCAGCTTTGCCCCACCCAAGTGGATCAGAGGAGGTCCCAAGAGCCTGGGGGGCTGAGGGCGCCTCCCACCGGGGGGCGTGGCCCACTGGATTCACATCCCCGCCCAGGCCCCCTGGTGCCATGACATCAGAGACCCTCCTGACATCACAAACCCTTCATCCTCCGGCTGAGCAGGGGTTGGGACGACCGAGGGAACGGAGATTCATTCCACCCGTCCATCCCCAGTTTCTGCCCTCGTACACCTGCCCGCGGTCGCCGCATACACCTAGATTTGGCCGTCAACTTCGCCACATCCCACTGTCCGATTCCTAGGCACTAGCGGAAGCCATCACAATGGCCATTATGAACCGCAGAGGCCCTCTGGTGATGCCCCTTAGAGAACTGGGTGGTGGAAGCTCTCCCTGGGTCCTGAGACCAAGAACCGAGATGGAGTTGGCCGAGCACAGCGCACACCCTCCCGCCCTCCCTCCCATCCTCCATCCTAGGCTGGCCCAATCCGCCCCTCCCCACATCTGGTTCAGGCCCCTGGTCGGTTTTGTGTGAAAGGAGGAGGTGCTGGCAGAGGCAGCGAGGGGAGGGGCCTTTGCATTATAAATTCCAAAACGGAGCTCAACTCCCAGAGCCGGGTTCCTGAAAGCCTGCCCTGTCAGCTGTTGCGGCCACTGCCCTGCTCAGGACATCACTATGAGAGCCCTGCTGCCGCTTGCCTTCTCTGTGCTCTTCTGCTGGGCCACAGGTGAGTCTGTGGGGCCCGAGGCCTGGGTCGTCAGCTAGGACGAGGTCCTTCCCTGCCTCCTCCTCTGCCCACCTTTCAGAATCCTAAACACCCCCATCCGCCCTCTGCTCCTGGACCAGACCTTCCCTCCGGGACAGGCCCCTTGTCCATTTCCCAGGGACCCAGTCCCATCATCATTTTCCTCCTGGGCCCCACTCTTCTTACCTGCCCTGGCTCTTGGTCTGGTTCCCCACTCCCATGTGCCCCCTTCTTCAAAAGTCTGGCGTCTGGATCCCAGGCCAGCCCCACTCCAACGTCTTCTCCTTTGGCCTCCTGCCCTCAGTGGGAGTCCTCTGAGACCTGGGCACCCAGCCCCAGACTCTGTTTGGACCCCGGCCTCCCTGTGGCCTCGAGGGGGATTCGTGCTCAGCAGTGACCCTTCCCAGTCCGTCCTTCCTGGCTGTGTATTCTCATCTCTACTGGGGCCACAAGCTTTCGGTGTGGTTCCAGGGACCATCCCTGGGATTCCCACCCGCACCCGGCCCTCCGCCCTTGGGCAGACCCCTCCTTCACCAAACCTCACATGCCCAAACCTTGAATAGCTGGAACAGGAGCCCTGGGGTGCCACCTTATGCACCCACCCATTTTGGTGAGGTGCTAAGACAGAAAGATGCTCTCTCGCCCGGGCATTACTCCTGCTGCCCAGAACCCAGACAGAGAGAATTCCGCTCAGGGCTCAGGACTGGCTCCTCTCCCTGCGTTCCGAGCAGGCCGGGGAGGGGAAGAGTAAATCACCAAAGCCATAACGGGTGGCTTTCATGCAGCCTCAGGTCCCAAGCCATCCCTGATGGCTGGAAGCACTGTCACCCCCGTAATTTCTAATTTTCACACACCTTCTTCTTTCACTCTGTTCTCTTTACCTTCCTCCCATTCCTTCTTCGCGTCCTAGGTCTCTGCAACCCGTGTTTTTGTTGGTGGCTGTGCTCCTCTTGACTCATCCCAGATGGGTGCAGTGGGACAAGATGTTTAGGGTGTGGGCCTGGCACCAAGAACAGCTCCACCCTCGCCTCCACCCACTGTCCACTCTCGAAGTATCACTCACCTGTCTTCCCGTTGACCAACAGCTCCGAGGCCTCCTCCACGGCTCTGCTCCACACCCACCCCGGTGGCTCAGACACCCCGCACTTCACCCTGTCACCCTGGCTTGTGTCTCCCCAGCTGACATTCGCTGTCACTCCTGCTACAAGGTCCCTGTGCTGGGCTGTGTGGACCGGCAGTCCTGTCGCCTGGAGCCAGGACAACAATGCTTAACCACAAACGTGTACCTCGGTAACATCCCCTCCTTAGTCAGGGAGGGCAGGTGGGAGAGTTGTTGGGCAGAGATGGAAAGGGAAGAGGATTCCAGCAGTGATAACGCAACACTTGGCCAGAGATGACTGTGTGTCAAGCACTGACCTACATCTTCAGATGCATTGCTTTTTGCTTGATTTGGTGTTCTTGTTTTTTTGGGGGGGTACCAGGGATCAAACTCGAGTCCTGAGCTTGTGAGGCTGGTGGCGGCACCACTAAGCTAAATGCCAGGCCCTGGTGGTGTTTTTTTGAGGCAGGGTCTCACTATGTAGCTCAGGCTGGCCTCAAACTTGTGATCCTCCTGCCTCAGCCTTCCAGGTGCTAGAGTCATGAAGTATCACACACAGCTCAGTGGCACTGTTCCAAGGCTCACGATAACCGACGAGTGCTAGCGTTACATTGAGGAAGTACCCTCAAAAAGAGATTACAGGGCCAGGGATGGAGCTCAGTGGAACAGTGCTTGTCTGGCGTGAAGGAGGCCATGAGTTCCCTGGCAGGGGAGGGAGAGAAGAAAGGGAGGGGGAGGAGGGGATTGGATGGGTGAGGGAGAAAAGAGAGCAAGAGGGAAGAGGGGTGAAGAAGAGGGAGAGAAAGGAGAGGATGACGGGGGAGGGAAGGGGAAGAGCGGGAAGGGGCGAGGGGGAGAGGACACGGCGCAACTAACCGGAACTGTAAGTGTAACTGGCTCAAGGCCAGCAGGTGCTAGAACCAGGACAGGCTGGGGATGAGGAGCCGTCCAGGATGAGTCGATGGACAGGGCAGGGCCCGGCACAGTGGGAAGGCAGGAGGAGCGGGTGGGGAGCCCGCTGCCCTCCCAGCCAGCCTCCCTGGCGCTGCCTCCCCTAGGGAAGATGTGGGTGTTCTCCAACCTCCGCTGCGGCACACCAGAGGAGCCCTGTCGCCAAGAGTTCAATAAAACCAACCACAAGCTGGGCCTCAACTACAACACCACCTGCTGCAGCCGTGACAACTGCAACAGCCCTGCTCCCCGGCACGCCCCCACCCTAGCCCTCCTGCTCCTCACCTCCCTGGCCGTCCTGGGCCTCTGGCTTCTGCACTGAGGCGCTGCACGGCTGCCCCCTCCCTCGCCTTGGCCCGAGCCCCTCCCTGCCTCCCCACGGCCCCTGGCTCCTGGAGTGGTCTCTCCCGGGCTCCCCACCCTGTGAAGAACAAGCCCCAAGTCCTCCTCTAATGAGACAGTGCTCACCTGAGTCCTCTCGCATTTCCCTCCAGGCCGCTCTGGATCCTCCACTGGCCTCTGAAGGGCTCCCCACTTTGTCTCCCTCACTGGGGCAGGGCTGGGATCTGTGTCTCCAGTGGGCCTTCCATCCTGTCCTCAGTGCAAGCTCCCAGGAAGGACCCGATGACCTCACTGACTCCCCAAACCATCTGCTCACTTCTTTCCATTTTGATTAATAAATGCCTGTGTCTGGTAAACTGTGCGTTTATCACGAGGAGGCCTAGGTGTCGGGGCCCCTCTCAGGGGTACCCTGCTCCCTCTTCCCTCCGCAACAACTCCCAGGGCTGGTTCTCCAGGAGGCTGGGTTGGCCAAAGGAGGAACAGGTTTTTCAGGCCTCCGTTCTCCCTTCCAACCTCTGGGGGTGGCACAGTGGCCCCAGTGTCTGGAGCAACAACTCTTGTCCTACACTGAGGCACACCCCTGGTATCCTGCCAGGCAGGAGGCGCAGCCTGGCTTGAAGCTCCCCGGAAAGTCTAGAAGTGCACGCGGCCTGGGCCCCACTTTCCTCAGTGCCTCGGGTGGGACTCTGAGGCCACCCCTGGCCCGCTTACTAACCAGGGTATCCAGGCACCTCTCCTGTCAGGGGACTTACAGTGCCCTTCTCAGCTCACAGTAGTCCTATCAACGTGCAAAGGGGTGAAAAGGGAGCAAATACAGGCAGCCAGGCTCACGGGATCCTAGTGACCCCCGCTCAGGCCAGAGCCTGCTCTCTGCAGTCCTCCTTGCTCAAAACGAAGCGTCGCCCTAGCAACGCATTCCTGGTGTTGCCCCAGGCAGATGCATCATCATCTGGGGGGCTCTTGTTTGTACCATTGTAACAGTCCACTGCTAGCCTGGGATCCCCCAAACTAGAAGCCGGGCCCCATATTGGCCTGTTAGCTTCCCATCGGTAAGAGACAGATGGAAATTTCCAGTCAGCTGCAGAAGAGTCAATAGATTTTTAATGGCTCTCAGAGGCATGCTTGTCTCCTCATCTTAGATGCTCAGAGCTTGCCTGCTCCTTCGCTCCCTCCCCTGCCCCTGAGCCCGCTACCCGCTCCACAGTCCTGGCAAAAGCCAGGTCAGGGCAGTGACTGCTGTAGCCAAGATGCACGCGTGGGCCACAGTGACTGCCGCGGCGCTGTTGCACAGGTCTCCCACGCAGCAGTCCCTGTGGGTCGTGTAGGTCACGCCACCCACCGACTCCATTTCCACTTGATGGCAGCGATGGATTGCCACACAGGCTGGCTGGTGCTGTCTCAAGGTCACTGAGGTTGAGAGGGAAAAGAACGAGGCGGGTTGGTGCTGCTGCTTTACTCAGCCTCGATCTCACCATGTGAACACAATAGATACTAAACGGGGGAGCAGTCTACAAAATAACCTGTCGCAAAAGTAAGTTTAAGGCAGGGGATTAGCTCAGTGGTTCTGCCGCCTGCTTTGCAAGTACAAGGTCCCAAGTTCGATCCCCAGTACCAAAAAAAAAAAAAGTAAATTAAAAATTTTAAATATGATGTAACCTATTATGGGCTAGAGATTGAGCTCAGTGTGCTGTGCTTGCCTTGCAAGCACAAGATCCTGAATTCAATCCCGGTACCGCAAAAAAAAAAAAGAAATAACCTATCAGGATTCTTCAAAAGCATCAAGGTCAACGGGGCATGGTGGTGTGGGTCTGTAATCCTGGCACTCTGGAAGGCTGAGGCAGGGGGTTTCAATTTTGAGCCCAGCCTGGGCAATTTAGCAACTTAGAACCTATCTCAAAAAATGAAAAGGATAAATAAATAAATAAATAACAAGGATAGCCAGGCATGGTGGTGCACACCTATAATCCCAGCAATTGGGAGGCTGAGGCAGGAGGATCACTGCGAGTTCGAGATCAGCCTGGGCTACACAGTGAATTCCAGAGCAGTCTGAACTACATAGTGAGACCCTGTCTCAAACAACAACAAAATAATAATAATAATAATAATAATAAAAAGGACTGAGGGGACTGAGGCTGTAGCTCAGTGCAAAGGTTGGGGTTCAATCCTCAGTAGTGTCAAAAATAAATAATAGGCCGAGCATGGTGGCGTACACCTGTAATCCCAGCACTCAGGAGGCTGAGGCAGGAGGATTATTGTGAGTTCAAGACCAGCTTGGGCTACATAGTAAGTTCCAGGTCAGTCTCAACTAATAGTGAGACCCTGTCTCATAAAACCAAAAACAAACAAAAATACAGAGGGCAGACCGGGGATTTGGCTCAGTGGTTCCACTGCCTGCCTCGTAAGTGCAAGGACCCAAGTTAGATCCCCGGTACCAAAAAAAAAAAACAACAACTGAGGGCTGTGATTTAGCTAAGTGGCACTATGCCTGCTTCCAAAGCTCAAGGTCCTGAGTTTGATCCATGGTACCACAAAAAATAAATAAAATAAAACAACAACAACAACAACAATAATAATAATAATAAACAAGTATGTCAAAGTCACAAAAGAAAAAAGAGACTCACACAGCCTCAATTAGCTGGCAATACTGCACCTGTGTTATTTTCTGATTTTCATACTTGTTTTTCAGCTGTGTGAGTTCTTAGCATTCAGTGAAGCTGGGTAAAGTACATCATATTCTCTGTACTACTTTTGCAACTTTTCTGTCAATCCAAAATGATTTCAAAATAACACACACACACGAGCTGGGCATGGTGGTACACGCCTGCAATCTCAGCACTTGGGAAGGCTGAGGCAGGAGGATCACCACGAGTTCAAGGCTAGCCTGAGCTACACAGTGAATCCAAGGCTAATCTGGCCTACACATTGACACTGTCTCAAAAAAACAAAAACCAACAAAACAAAACAAAAAAACCACACACACACACACACACACACACACACACACACACACACGCACACTTCCCTGGTCCTTGGCCAATACTTGAAAGTTGGAGTTTGATTTAACACTTTGGCCTGGGCCTGTGGCATGGGGTTTTTTTCTTTGTGAGTGAACAAGCCTGTAAGGTTCCGGGGGGAGCACAGAGGAGGGGGTCAGGACACAAAGACAGGGTGCTCGGTGCCAGGACCAGATGGGCACAGGGCGCTTACTGCCACAGTGGCACCATCTGCCCCGAGCCAGACTGAGCCTGGAAGGTTCTGGAAGCCAGAAGGACGAAAGTGGAGGCTGGAGGCAGGGAAGGGCCGAGGGAAGAGGGAGGAAGGAGGACTCACGGTTTCCCGGCAGTTTGATCTGCACCAGGCTGGCCTGGGGCTTGCGATCCACGAAGCCACAGCGCTCGCCCTCGCCGCAGGTGGTCACGGCCTCAGTGCAGCCTCCCGGGCCGCCCCCGCAGTCATAGCACCTCAGACGGGTTCCTGAGGAGAAAGAGGCAGGCGCTGGGCCGAGCCCTGGGCGGCAGGCGGAGGGCTGGGACAGGCCCCAGGCGCCTTGGCCTCCTCTTACCCAAGGCGGCGCCCAGCAGGGTGAAAAGCAGCATCGCGCCAACCCGGGGGCTCATCCTGTCGCTCTGTCCGCAGTGCTTTCCCTCCCGCCCGCCCCGCTCCTGGTCCTGCTCCGCCAGCCTTATATCCCCCTGGCCTGGGCTTTATGGGCCCATAAAACGGGTGCAGAGAGTCTCCCCCAGCAGGCACCAGGCCCCTTTGGGGCCAGGGTGGGGCTCCTGGCATTTCCGCAGCCCATGGCCTCCCTCCCCGTCAGGTCAGGTCGGCTCCTCCTTGGTCCAGCTGGGCTCTGAACCCGTCCCGACTCCCTCATGGCTCCTGAGTGAGAGCTGAATTTTCTTCATGCACTTCAGCCAGAACAACATAGCAAAGAGGATTTGAACACCCAGCATCTTCTACTAGGTCTAAAATTAAACTCTGGCAAAAAGTGAAAAGCAATAGCACTCTTTTCGCTGAGCTGTTTGGAGCTAATCGTTATTTTCCACAAAACTATGTTTCATTGACGTGTAACAGATTTATTTTTATTTGTTCAATGAATCAATCAATGCCTATCTAAAATGTCCTGTTTTGATATCTAATACAGCAAATACTGACAGAACCCACACAAAGGAAAGCTCTTTGGGGCCTTCAGTCATTTTTAAGTGTAAAGAGAGCTGGGTGTGGTGGTGCATGCCTATAATCCCAGCCACCCAGGAAGCTGATCCAGGAGGATCTCCAGTCAGAGGCTGGCCTGGGCAGTTCAGCAAGACCCTGCCTCAAAATAAAATCTTTAGAGGGTTAGGGTGTAGTTCCGTGTTTGATCACTTGTCTAGCTTGTGTGAGAGACCCTGGATTTAATCTTCAGTACTGGGAGAGGGGGAGGGAGGGAAGGAGAGAAAGACGGAGGAG